GTAGTGGCGGATGCTCTAAGTAGGAGATCAGACTACTTTGGAGCCGTAGTACATTATCTGGATATAGGGAGAGACCTGCAGGAGAAAGTGAAACAAGCGTATACGCAGGACCCTATCTATAACGACCTCCTAAAGAGAGTTAGAGAGACCCCAGAGACCGAACCAGATGACCGCACTACAGACTGGTTGCTGTTTGAGAAGACTAATGTGTTTGACCGCCTGTGCGTTCCCAACAGCGAAGAGATTCGTAGTCTGATTCTAGGGGAATGTCACAATACTGAGGGACACTTCGTTTGGCAAAAGACGTTAGCCAATCTGATGCGTGCGTACACATGGCCATGGATGAAGAACGACTGCATAGAGTATGTCCGCAGTTGTAAAGTGTGCCAGAGGAATAAATCTACTACACGCGCGCCCCTAGGTCTTCTCAGACCCTTGCCTATTCCGGATCAGTCGGGAGACTCGGTATCCATAGACTTCATGGACACGCCAGTCAAGAGCAGACATGGTAAGAGCCAAGTCATGGTCATAGTCGACCGTTTTAGCAAGTATGCAGTTTTGTTCCCTTGCCTGCAGAGGCACGTACAGATTTAGTAATACAGAAGTTCTTTGACTTTTGGGTTAGTGAGAATGGAATCCCATTGTCAATAGTTAGTGATAGGGACAGTCGTTTCACCAGCCAGAACTGGCAAGAACTAATGAGAGTCTACGGATCTAAGTTGTTAATGTCGTCCGGCCATCACCCAGAGACTAACGGTCAGACATAACAGATGAACAAGATCCTACAGCAAGTTCTGCGCATGTACATTAGACCCGATCAGATTAACTGGGATGAGATGTTGCCTAAGGTAGCTAGTGCATACAACAACAGCGTGCATCTATCCACCTGCCGCACCCCCAATGAGTTGCACAAGTCCTTCAGACCGCGCAGACCGTTCGAAGGACTGAACCGGGATCAGATTCACAGATTACCACCCGGTACCAGGGAGTTTGCGATACAGCACGAAAAGGAATTAGCCACTGTTGTTGAGAACCTTCGGAAGGCCCAGCACAGAATGATAGAGCAGGCAAACAAGCACCGTTGCCCATCACAGTTTCAAGTAGGCGACTTAGTCTGGGTCAAGGCAAAAGAGTTTGCACCGGAAGAAAACAGCTCGCAGAAATTACTGCCTGCATATTGAGGACCGTGGCCGGTTCTAGAAGTCAAGGGCGGAGAGGATGGACCGTCCTACAGCATTGAGATTCCCGCACACCTCCACACATACCCTGTGTTCCATGCTTCAAAGCTGCTGCCGTGTGTCACTAGTCAACAGTTCCCTTCCAAGAGATCCATGATCCCACCGGATATGGATGGGAGCTATGACATAGAGGGCATCGTAGAAGAGGATGTGTTTAGGACAGGAGGTAGAGGTCGTCCCCAGAAACAGTATAA